AGCTTATATAAACTCATCTTATTTCACATATTTCGTGTGCCTCTCCAGAAATTAAAAAGAGCAATTATTTGAGAGCATATACTTAAGCACTAATCCCATTCATCAAGTCATATACAAGAGCATTCTAGTACAAAAACATTTTCTCTTAATTAGCTTCGTAGAAGTGAGATCAAAGGAGAGTTCTTGATTCTTGTATTGAGTCTTTAACAAAGGGGTTAAAGGCTGGGTGAGTGTTTGTGAGTTCAAACACATTGGGCTTACGAGTGTAAGTCGAGAGCACACTCGGAGTAGAGTGTGGGGTAGACTGGTTCCCGGAGTAGGGAAACAGTAGAGTGTTCTTTGTCTTTGTTTTTCGGAGTAGATTAATAAAGGACTTAGGATAGGAGGACGTAGGCCTGAGTTGGCTGAACCTCGTTAAATTTGTTGTGTTCTTTATTGCTTTGTTTTATTCCGCTGCATAAGGGAACCAGCACAACTGGTTCCTTACACATAATCCGAAAAGAAGCAAAAATCGCTAACGATTACTTAACACTCAATTCACCCCCCCCCCCCCTCTTGAGTGCCCATTGAACCTTCATGGTCCAAATGCCTCGGGATCCCAATTACCGAGCCCTTAATCACCGGATCTCACCAATCCTGGGCTCCAAAAGTGGTCGTGTCCTTCTAGCTTCCGTAGTTGATCCATAAAGCCCGGGAAAATGCTCCAAGAGTGCAATTTCCTGTAAAATACAACTAAAACTACAAAAACACTAGAAAACACAAATTAATAATAAAAGTGGCCCGAAAGAGCCAAAAAGACTACTAATAACGACCATGGGACGGGGGGTAAAACATTATATAAAATGGACATATCAAACTCCCCCAGGCCAAACCTTTGCTTGTCCCTAAGCAAAGAGCTCATCAATGAACATATAAAACATACTTCAATTCAATAATAAAAATCAAGCACACGATCCAGGGTAAATCAAATAAATATTTTTAAAATCAACCAATCAAATCCATCTAATTACCAATCTTCCCTAACAATTGTCAAATAAAGCAAACCACAAGAGCATATAGAATTCAAGACTAGTGCTCACGCACTCAACTCTCATTTTTGTGGCGAGTAAAAGATGTACTCGATCACTCTCCATCCAACCCCTTTATGTGAACAATGCCCTCCCAACTCACACTCTCGTGTATATAAAACAATGAACACTCAATCCTACTAGTCGACTCGAAATATGCCAAATCATAACTTGCATTGATAAACAACACTTTCATATTTACATAACTTCTATGCACAAGGTCGGAAGGTATTTAAACCTTTTAATGTAAGGCTAGGGTAAAGGCAGGATAAATTTAGGATTATGTGAGAGAAAAGCTATGCATTAAGGGAGCCAAATCCTAATAAACCCATGATAAAAAATAAATGATGACCATACATCTCCAACAACATAACTAACTCCAACAAAAACCACCAAATACAACTCCAATCATCATAAACAATCCCAACACTTACAAAATTCACTCATAAAAATATGATAATGTAGAAGTAAAGTGAATAAACAAACATTATTTTCCAAACTTGAATTTTCATTGAAGCTCTAAATTATTTTTCTTTGATCAACCTCAAACTAGAACATTTGAACACTTTTTGTTTTTCTTTTGAAGTTCACTTATTTTTTTTTCACATTTTTTTCCTTGAACTTCTTTTTTTTTTTTTTTTTTTCATAATATCATGCTTTATTTTTTCAAGAAAATATAACTCTCAAACTCATCAAAAATAAACATGATCAACAACAAAATAACTTCTCAAAACCCACCCAAATTGTGCAAATAATAAGCACACTACAAACTCCCTCACCTCACTCACTAATAGCTCCCCCAAGCCAAGCTTGGGTCTAGTAACCAATGGGGAAAAATAGGCTTGTAATGCGGCTAATAAACAACAAAAGGTCAAGGCAACAACATGGGTAGCAAGAAGGGAACAAATGTATCTACAATGTCTGGAGGCTACCTAAAAGAACTAATGCCTTCGTCCTCCACAATGTGCATAATAATGAATCATATAAACATTACTAATAGTTGCAAACCAATACTCAAATTCATTGACATACCAGGAAATATGGAACTATCACACATTCCTTACCAAATTAACTGGTCAAGCACTATATTTACAAGTAGTTGGACAAAATTGACGCATGTAAAGGTTTCAAGGCAATCAAACATCAAATCATGATTAACTGATCCACAATGCCTATCATCAAATACCAAGAATCAAAACAATTTTTCTCAAGTATGGGGCACAGGGAAGTATGATTCATAATTCATTGGAACGTATTTTTGAATTTTTTTATTTTTTAATTTTTTCATATATAATAAAGCAATAAAAACTACACTAGAAAGCAAATAAAAACTATACTAGAAAGCAAATAAAAACTATACTAGAAATCAAATAAAGAGAGAAAAGGAAAAGAATTACCAAGCGAAAGAACACCCCCCCAAGCCAAATCAAGCAATTCCCTCATTGACTTGGGAGGGGAGCCTACTCCTCATCCTCATCCATCCTCGAATATCCCCCTCCGTGGCTAGAACCGGCTCCTCCATGGCTAGAGCCACCACCTTCATAACCCAAACCACTTGCGAAGTAGTTAGGGTCCACATTCCCCCTAAGCCCACGTTTACATCGGTCCCATAACCATGAACCGATGAGTAGTCAACGTAGGTACCAAAGGCACTTGGGTTCTTATATCCACCTTGCGAATATTGGAACCAATCAAGGACAAGTGAATCGGGGGGAATAGCCCCCCGACGGGCGTAGTCATCATACATGGGTTATAAACCCCTCCCTAGGTTCCTCTCCACATAACCTACCCTTCTATCTAGAGACCCTACTCTAGTATCCAAATATCTAACCATACCCTCAACTCGCCCTTGCCCCATCTCAATCCTATCTAATTGGCTCCTGAAAGCCGAGAAGTCATAAGGGGCGTTGGGGTCTATGTTGTAGTTGGTAGAGGAAGTGGGGATATCGTATGTAAAGGGTTGAGGTGGTGGATAATGTGGTGAATAGTGAGGAGGTGAATGGTCAATGGGAGAGTGATGGGGTTGAGGTGAAGGGTGAGGTGGTTGCACCTCACCTTGACCGTTAAGCTCGAAAGTGTAAGAAGGCTTCCCCTTCTTAAATTTTGTCAAGGTGGGGTGGGGTAAAGTGAAAGCATTATCCCTCCTACCCGATTCCCGTTGAATCACCCACCAAGTCTCCCCTCCTATGGCATTAATCCAATTAAGGCCACCTAGATAGGGTAGGTCCATAATAGTTGGGCCAGCTACCTTACCGTCATCGTTAGGGACAAAGCTAAGGTGTTTGACCGCTATATGTGTAACTAGGCCACCAAAGTGAATGGGTACCCTAGACCTACCCGCCTCGGCCGCATTGGCCACCCGTTGGAAGTGGTTGGCCATTTTATGGACTATATTGAGCTTTTCACTCCTAGGGATCATGTATGACCCTAGTAATTCAAGCTCATCCCGCCTAACATTGGCGGGTTCATGCCTTCCAAAAATGGTAAGGCCAACAAACCGTTGCCAAATCTTTGGCACGGGATGTTGTATCCAAGTGCCTTTAGCATGTTGGAGGTTCAAATTAGGATCCCCCGTAAGGGATTGATAGACAACGGCAATGCTGTCTTGGGGCGGCTCAAGGGGCCTATCCGATTTCAACTCAAAAAATTTACCAAATTCTTTCAATGTCAATCTAATATCATTATTGAATAATCGAAATTGAACATGATAAATTAAAGCATTTGATTTTATGACATTAAAACTAAAACGAATTCTAAGGTTAAATAATCATAAGTATCGTAATGCATGTTAAAAAAACCGCTCATGCCAACTCCCTTGAATAATTTTTCTACATGCTTATCAATCCCTAATCTAATAAGGGTAGGGTGATGAATGAAACGAGTGGGAATTACCTGCCTCGTGATGAGGTTGAGCATCCTCTGTTTTTGCTCTTGGGTGGTGATGACCACCCTCTCCCATCCCGGAATTTGCAAATCCGGGTCGATTCTCGCCTCTTGTTGCCTTGAGCCTTCCCCCTTACTGTTCTTGATCTCTTGAAAGCCATTGAGATTAGAAAGTGTAGAAATTGAATGGTTTATCTCTCTTAGGGTTTAGAGAAAATTGAGAGAAAATGGTAGAAATTGGGTGTTGATTGTAGAGAAAGATGAAAGGATTGAAAATATGTAAAAAAATTTGAGTTTTGATGGAAGGATTGGAGAAGATCTTGAAAAATAAGTGAGTTTGAAGGTGTAAAAATGGAGGTTTTAGAGAGAGAAAGTAAAGGTGAAGAAGATGAAATAAGAAGAAAGTGAGGAAAGAAAGAAGAGGAGAAAATATAAGGGGGCGGCCAAAATAGGCGCGCCCGACCGGGCAAGACTCGCCCGATCGAGCGGATAATCTGAATTTCCAAAATCGTAGTTGCGCGCCCGATCGGACGCGGACGCGAACGCGAACGAAAAATTCGCCTTATGGTTCGCCCGACATATCTTTTCCTTCACTCGATTTCTACCCGATCGGGAAACCTCGCCCGATCGGGCGAAATTCGCTCGATTTCTGACTCTCCTTGCGCGCCCGATCGGGTGAAATTTGCTCGACTTTCCAGCTCTCTTTGCGCTCCCGATCGGGTAGCCACGCCCGATCGGGCGCATTTAAGGCTGAAATTGCACCTTCCTTGCGCGCCTGATCGGGCGAGCTCCGCCCGATCGGGCCCGTGCCCAGTTGATTTCCTTTGCTTTTCTTCGTCTTCAAATTCTTCTAAGTCTTTTGACCTCTTAAACCTATACCTGTACGAAAACACTTATAAACGGTAAAATTTCACTCTCCTCGCCTCTCTAAAATAAAAATAAAAAAATAATTAAAAAGGAAAACTAGTCTAGAAAGCAAGAAATAAGGGTTGCCTCCCGCAAAGCGCTGGTTTATCTAGGTCCCGCACAACCCTCTTACCACCTTGATGCTCAGGTTGGAAGTGGAGTTAGGAAGGTTTCCTCCACATCTCTACTAGTAGCGCCCTCATGATACACCTTCAGTCGTTGGCCAATTACCTTAAACTCTTCACCCTTGTCATTGACCAACTCTACCGAGCCAAATTTGCTCACCCTTGTGACAGTGAAGGGACCGGACCACCTAGACTTCAACTTTCCTGGGAAAATCTTTAATCTAGAATTGAAGAGAAAAACATTATCACCTGTTGCAAACTCTCTTGGTAAGATCCTCTTGTCATGCCACTTCTTGGTCTTCTCCTTGTAGATTCGCGCACTATCATATGCTGACAATCTAAACTCATCTAAATCATTGAGTTGGAGGAGTCTTTTCTTACCCGCGACCTTAGAGTCCATGTTAAGCTCCTTGATCTCCCAAAAAGCTTTGTACTCCAATTCCACGGGAAGATGACATGCCTTACCATAAACTAATCTATAAGGTGAAGTACCAATTGGTGTCTTGAATGATGTTCGTTATGCCCAAAGCGTGTCATCGAGCTTCATGCTCCAATCTTTCCTTAACTTGGCTACTACCTTTTCTAGGATCGCCTTGATTTCCCTATTAGAGACCTCAACTTGACCACTAGTTTGAGGGTGGTAACTAAGCCTGGTTCTGTGATATACGCCATACTTTTAAGGAGGTTATCCAGTTGTCTTTCATGGAAGTGGGTACCTCCATCACTAATGATAGCCCGTGGAACGCCAAACCTCGGAAATATGGTTTTCTTGAAGAGCTTGGTGACTACCTTGGCATTGTTTGTTGGTGAAGCTATGGCCTCAACCCACTTAGACACATAATCGAAGGCTACAAGTATGTAGCAATTCCCATTGGAAGATGGGAACGACCCCATGTAATCAATACCCCAAACATCGAATATTTCTACTTCAAGAATTCCGGTTTGGGGCATCTCATGCCTCCGCGAAATGTTGCTAGTCCTCTGGCAAGAGTCACAAGCCTGCACAAAAGTGTTAGCATCCTTGAACATAGTAGGCCAATAGAAGCCTGACTCACTAATCTTAGCCACCGTTTTAGTGGGGCCATGATGTCCTCCATAAGGTGAGGTATGACAGGCGGTAAGAACTCCATGAGCATCCCTTTCGGGAACACACCTGCGAAATAATCCATCTGCACACTCACAAAACAAAAAAGGATCATCCCAAAAATAATGTTTAACATCAGAAAGGAATTTCTTTTTCTGTTGGTAGGACATATCAGGAGGTAGAGTACCACCCACTAAATAATTAGCAAAATCCGCATACCATGGGTGTTGCTCTACAACTGTATATAGGTTGTCATCAGGGAAAGAATCATCTATAGGTAAAGAACCCTTACCCTCATCATACCTGATACGTGATAAGTGGTCTGCCACTACGTTCTCTGCTCCCTTTTTATCTTTTATTTCTATGTTGAAATCTTGGAGCAAGAGAACCCACCGGAGTAGCCTTGGCTTTGATTCCGCCCTGGCTATCAAATATTTCAATGCTGCATGATCAGTAAAAACAATAACTTTAGAACCGACAAGATATGATCTAAATTTTTCTAAAGCATAAATAACAGCAAGAAACTCTTTTTCTGTAGTGGCGTAATTGACTTGGGCTTCATCCAAAGTTTTGTAGCATAATAAATAGAATGCAAAACTTTGTCCTTCCTCTGTCGGAGCATGGCTCCTAGCGCAAAGTCACTTGCATCACACATGATCTCGAAAGGAAGGTTCCAATCGGGAGCACATATGATGGGTGCCGATATCAAAGCCTGCTTAATCCTGTTGAAAGCCTCAAGACACTCGTCAGTAAAAATAAATGGGGCATCCTTGAGCAAAAGCTGTGTCAGTGGTTTAGCAATTTTAGAAAAATCTTTGATAAAACGACGATAAAACCTCGCATGACCCAAGAAACTTCTAACTCCCTTAACATTAACTGGGGGAGGTAATTGCTCAATCACTGATATTTTAGCTTTGTCTGCTTGTATTCCCTTATCAGATACAATATGACCTAGGACTACTCCCTCAGTCACCATAAAGTGACATTTTTCCCAATTAAGGACTAAATTGCACTCTTCATATCTTTTCAAAATTTTAGCGAGATTAATTAAACATGAATCAAATGAAGAACCATAAAAATCATCCATAAAGACCTCCATAATATACTCTATGAAATCCGAAAAAATGCTCATCATACAACGTTGAAAGGTAGCAGGTGCATTACATAAACCGAAGGGCATTCTACGATATGCGAAAGTGCCATAAGGGCATGTAAAAGTAGTCTTTTCCTGATCTTCAGGGTGAATCAGAATTTGGAAAAAATCCCGAATACCCATCCAAATAGCAAAAGAATTTATGATTGGCTAACCTCTCAAGCATTTGATCAATAAAGGGAAGAGGGAAGTGATCCTTTTAGTGGCGATATTTAATCTACGATAGTCTATGCACATATGCCACCCTGTTACAGTTCTAGTGGGAATTAATTCATTATTTTCATTTGTTATCACAGTCATCCCACCCTTCTTTGGCAGTACCTGCACAGGACTTACCCACTTGGAGTCAGAAATAGGATAGATAATACCTGCATCAAGTAATTTCATCACCTCCTTCTTGACTACTTCCTGCATGTTGGGATTTAATCTTCGTTGGGGTTGAATGCAGGGCTTGTAATTTTCCTCTAGATGTATCCTGTGCATACAAAATTCAGGGATAATACCCTTGAGATCATCAATAATGTACCCTATAGCCTTCTTATGGGTTTTGAGAACCCCTAGAAGTTGGGAAGATTGTAGGTCAGTAAGTGCAGTACTGATGATCACGGGGTGTAGTTCCTGTTCATCCAGAAAAACATATTTTAAATGAGAAGGGAGAGGTTTTAGCTCAGGTTTCTTGACCTCTGCAGGTTTTGATTCCTGAACTAAATTTACTACCTTCATTGATTCCTTGGGGCTTAACTCTTTTAAGGAAAGAGCCTTTTCAATATCCTGTACCTCATTACCCCAAACGCTTGCATTGTCGCTAGATAAATTCCCGCAAAGAACTTCCTCTAAGGGATCCTTCGCAAGAACCTGTGGCAAGCTATCATCACAAATATCATCCATTATATCAATTATATCAATGTAGCAACAATTTTCCTCTAGCATAGGCCCTTTCAAAACCTTCCCTAAATTGAAAGTAACATTATCGTCACCTACAGAAAGGGTCAGTTTACCATTTTTAACATCATTAATCGCTCCTGCAGTATGGAGGAAAGGCCTACCTAATATAATGGGTATTTGTGTGTCCTCCGCGATGTCTAAAACAACAAAATCCACCGGAATAAAAAATTTACCAACTCTGACAGGTACGTCCTCTAAAATACCTAATGGGTATTTTACCGAATGATCTGCCATTTGCAAAGTTATATTAGTAACTTTTAATTCTCCCATATTAAGTTTAGCACAGACAGACGATGGCATGACACTAACACTAGCACCCAAATCACACAAAGCTTTATCAATAAAAACATTCCCATTATGACAAGGGATAGAAAAACTACCGGGATCCTTTAAATTAGGAGGGGATTTATTTTGCAATAAAGCGCTACACTCCTCTGTGAAAGCTACAGTTTCTACTTCATTAAAGGCCCTTTTCCTAGTAAGAATGTCTTTCATAAATTTAGCATAAGCAGGAACTTGAGTGATTAAGTCAGTAAAAGCAACTGTTACCTTCAGGTTTTTCACGACCTCTAAAAACTTACCGAATTGTTTATCAAGCTTACTCTTTAGATGTCTATTAGGGAATGGAAGCTTGATAACTGGGCTCTGCACATCTCCTCCCTTATCCTACGATTTACCCTGCACAGAAACATTAGTAGGGTTAGTATCTATTTGTAGCCCTGCAGGGCTAGCAGGATTACCGTTTGGTATAGAGGAATCTATATCAGGAACTGGTCTATCTTCCTTTGGCATAGGAGGTCCATCATAATGCGAACCACTCCTTAGAGTGATTGCATTGGCATGATCTGTAGGATGGATAGGTTGTGATGGTAGAGCACCTTGCTGACGGGATTGTAGGGTAGATGAAAGTTGTGCAATTTGATTGTCCATGATTTTATTATGTGCTAGTATAGAATCAATTTGCGCATCCCTACTCTCCATATGCTTTTGCATGTTGGCAAGCATTGCTCTAATTGCTGTCAAGGCAGGGTCGGAAAATGATGAGGGTGATGCTTGGTTTTTCTGGCTAGCATTAGGATGATAATATTTTTGTTGTGGTGGGGTTTGCTGTTGTGGTTGTTGTGGAGGTGGAGGATTTTGTACATTGGTGCTCCGGTACGAAAGATAAGGATGATTTTTATAACCGACATTGTAGGAATTGGAATAGGGGTTATTCTGCCTATAGGTTTGAAAGGCATTAACTTGTTCCATAGAGCTCCTACAATCTTGCTACTAATGACCTACAATTCCACAATTTTCACAAAAAGCTTCATGGTTAGCAACAACAGAAACATTAGCTACAGAGTTAGGAGCAGTTCGATTATCTAATTTTTGACAAATAAATGTTAATTGAGCTTGCAAAAAGGATACAAAATCGACATTATGTTTTCCTTTATTTGCAAACCCTCTCGGATTCCCGTATTGGGAATTGTATTGCCATGTCTTCGATAACCTGTCCTGCATCGTCCACATTTAAATTCATAAACCTCCCGCTAGCTGCCGAATCTAGCACTGATCTGGAAGAATTTCCAAGTCCATTATAGAATGCTTGGATCAATTGCCATTGTGCTAGATTGTGGTGGGGGCACTCTCTCTGTAGATCCTTGAACCTCTCCCAAGCCTCATATAACGTTTCGTCGGCTTCTTGAGCGAAGTTCTGAATAGCACTCCTTAGCACCGCTGTTCTCTTTGCAGGATAATATTTATTATGGAAATTCAAAGCAAGAGTTTCCTAGTCAGTAATACCAAGCGCAGTTCTATTCAACCCATTAAACCATAATTTAGCTTTGCCACATAATGAAAAAGAAAAAAGAATCTCCCTGATTTGGTCTTACGTGACCCCGGCTTGTCTAATAGTGTTACAATATTGGCAGAAATCTGTGATGTGAAGATTAGGATCTTCACCCTTAGCTCCGCTGAACTGCTTCCTCTCTATCATAGTGATAAATTGGGGCTTGATCTCAAATTGAACTCCATCTAGAGCCGGAGTGGGAGTAAGGTGCGGGAAATCTGTGAGTTTCGGTTGTGAGTAGTCACTGAGTTTCTTCTGGGCCGTCATCTCTTATTCTGAATTTGAAGGAATATCTGTGTCACTAGAATCAAAGGGAGGATCTCTTCAACCGTTTTCCTCCACAGAACCCGCCAGAATTTGTCTATAGAGTTTCCTTTGCCTATGAAAAGAACGCTCAATCTCAGGGTCGAAAGGGATGTAACTTGATCTGGAACACCTGGGCATAAACAAAGAACTAAAGACAAATATGAGAATTGCCTCAAATAACTAATGTTCTTTGAGGAAAAAAAGGGATAATCTAGACTACAAAAATATAATCAGAACACAAAAATAAAACCGTTTCCCCGGCAACGGCGCCAAATTTTGACTAGGTAAAGTCGTATCCCCTAATCAAAAATAATTCCTTAGTCCTCTAACTAATGTAGATAGGGAAGTAGGGTCGAACTCCACAGGAAAACAAGTCTTTTTACTCCTGATTATTTATTATAATCTAAATTATCTGAGTAACCAATATTTTTTTGGGAATAAATTCTATACTACGAAGAATAAGTTTAGGGAGAAAAGAAACAATAATAAGGAAGCCTAGAGTCACAGGTTCACCAATAATTAATATTCCGGGATAAAACGAAGTAATTAATAATTAACAATGCACAAATAACATGATTAACAGGCTCTCGCTATTTATTAATCAACATAGATCTAACAGGCTCTCGAAATTTACTAGATCTAACTTCCTATTGAAAATAGCCCTTAATATTAAATTAACATCTGCTCGATTCATCAATTCAATATTGCTAAACATTCACAATCAAATTACATCTGCTCGATTCATAATCTAATTGCAAAGAATTAAAACAATTCAATAAGAAATTATCATGCAATATCAATAATCAATAATAACAAACTATCCCTTCATATTAATTATGGATCCCCATAAACCCTAGAATGAAACTACTCACGCATCATCATAACTAAACTAATCAAATAATCAAATAAAGGCATAATCAAAGAAGCAAGTAAAATAGCTGAAATTAAAAGGGAAGAAATTATTACCAAAAAGAAATCTGGAATTAATGGAATAATTTAGAACAAAAGTTGAGAGAGAATTTTGGAGAGAGAAAAATTCTAAGTAGAGAGAGAAAGTCTAAGAAAGAAGGTAATCTCAAAATTCCGTACAAAATTGTACTTAAACGTTTTCTAAAACAAGAATTAAAACTAAACTTAATCAGGTCTTCTAAAAACGCGCGCCCGATCGGGCTAAGGGCCGCCCGATCGGGCGCGCCTTTTTCTTCGCGTTCCTCCCAAGCAGCATCGCCCGATCGTGCTAGATGCTTGCACGATCGGGCGCGCCTGAGCATGCACAACACTATGGTCTTGCCGCGCCCGATCGGGCTTGAGGTTGCCCGATCGGGTCCTTGCTCCCCTTTGAGGCTTGGACTTCGATTGGGCTAGATTTCTCGGCCCAATCCAAATTTCCTCCTCGGGTCTGGAATACTTGTTCCAAATGCCTCGGGATCCCAATTACCGAGCCCTTAATCACCGGCTCTCACCGATCCTGGGCTCCAAAAGTGGACGTGTCCTTCTAGCTTCCGTATTTGATCCATAAAGCCCGGGAAAATGCTCCAAGAGTGCAATTTCCTGTAAAATACAACTAAAACTACAAAAACACTAGAAAACACAAATTAGTAATAAAAGTGGGCCGAAAGAGCCAAAAAGACTACTAATAACGACCAAGGGACGGGGGTAAAACATTATATAAAATGGACATATCATCTTCTCCGGATCTACCATATTCAAGGTGTCGGCTACAAGGGGAAAACGAAGAGTTAAAATAATAAAAAGTTGAAGCACAAAAACAAAAAACAACAGAATTGTCGGATGCAAAGTGGAGCTACCCTTGGGAAACATGGTGCTTAACCCGCAACCGGACAAGAATCTTTCATCCTTGAAGAAGTCCGGATGGGGGATCCAGTTCTTTGGCACAATAATATGAGTCCCATCCCCCAAGGGCTCAAAGTGGTTTGAAAGAAACTCGGGTCCATTATTTGCTCCCGGGCTCTAGAAGAGAGTGCCAAGAGAGGACATTTTCTGCCCACGAGAGTCGGTTCCTTATTATAAAAGCCAACATCCGGTTGTGTCTCAAAGTGGGGGAGGAGACCAAATAATACTTCTCCTTCCACCCGAACCATTTGGACACCTTGTCCAAGGTCATTAGATATTGGGGAAAAGTGGTAAGAGTATACGACGCCCCATGACCGCCTAGGGCCTTGCTCAGATAGTGCATATGAGCGAAGGCGGAAAAGCTGGGGGATATATTCTGGAGCTCGCAAGCGGCAATGTAACTCAGAACATTCACCCACGAGTTTGGGGTGAGCTGCCAGACACCCAGATCATACCCCTTGAGGATTTTTCCTAATCCTAGTATGGAGGGGGAACCTAAGGCCAGCTTCTAATACCACCTCGTAGTAGACAAAGTAATTGTCTGCATTTTAAAAGTTGTCCTCCCATGCCATGACCGCATCTCCAGGCGGGAAAATAATTTTCCGCCCCTTTTCAAAGGGGTGTTTCTCTTTGAAAGCCCTGAAGCCGCTCTTCATCAAGGCTCTATCACCCGGAAGCATTCTTATCTTCTTCGGGTTAGGGTTAGCTGAAGCTTTAGCCGGCTGCTGATAGTTAGCCGTAAAATTATCTAGATCGGAGCCAGATGCCTCGGCTCCCGATCTTTTGGCGGCATCATTACCGCCCGTCTCTTCCCTGGATCCATTAGAAGAGGTGGCCTCTTCAACGCCTACCTCTCTCACGCTTGAGCTTCCGGAGGATTAGGGAGCCTCATTATCGGAACCACTTTTCTCCTTCGAATCCTCTTGTTCTGTATCCAAAACAACCTCATCTGCGGGCACTTCCATAGCGCGCCAGCTCCCAGGCTTAATAGCCGTCTGTTTAACCCTAGCCATTGTGTCGTGCACAAACACAGAGTGGGAAGAATTTACGGATGAGCACAACAGTGCCGCCCCAAGAAAAGGCACCCCTTGTTCTAGATTCAGCCGTTCTAGGAGACCGGCTGAATGTCTTAGGTAGTGCCGAGTGTGTGGATTGAGAGCTCATTTTTATTTTTAAATACTATGTATACAGATGTAAAAAAATAATGTATACAAATTGAAATGAAGGAAAAGCTAAAAAAGGGTACAGGCGGTTACCTTACTTTAGTTCTGAAAACTCTGAAAACTGCAACAGACGGTGACCGGGTGTTGTAAAAGAGCACACAGAAATCTTGAGAATCTGACGCAGATAAGATCAGAGTATCTCTCTCTAAGAATCTCTCTTTCTCTCTCTAGAAAGTCAAAGAAAAGAAAATGGTGAGAGAAGGGAGGGGGGGTAAACTCCTATTTACAGAGGGGTGAAACGGGGGCATCCCCGTCATACCCCAGATTTTACTAGTTGTTTTCACTGTTCATCTCTCTTAGATGGACATGTGTCACAGGCGTCACGTAGAAGCCACGTGACCCCTGTGAGGGGCAAATGTTTAGGGTAAAAATACCCTAGACATGTGGTCCAATGAGAGAAGGCCACGTGTCAAACCCAGGTTGGTCCAAGTGGCCCAATAGCCATTTGACACGTGTCCCCTTCAGGTATCTTCTAAAATTGCGACCTTCAAGGGCCCAATTTCCAAGAAGTGCCGTAAAACGGCGCAATAATCAAAATCTAGGTCAAGTGACCCAGATAGGGGCACACCTTCCAACGACCCTATAAATAGGGAGATATTTTCCCATTTTGGAGACACAATCCATCATTTTATTACACCTACTTTCTCTCACATCAAAGAAACACCTGAGCTTGGAATCCAAGCAGATACCCACCTAAATTTCCGCACTCTTTATTCTCTTTCAAGTTACTAACTTGATCGTCGGAGGCAGAGCTCTTACAACCGGAGCCTCCGTTGTTTTGCAGGTGCAGCTCAAGCCGGACCAATCTTTGTGACGTAACTCTCTCGAGGGAAAAAACACCCAAAACAATAGTCATGTGGGATCTAGTTAGATTCGTCTCATAAAATACTTTCACAATATCAACTTCTTATAATTTTTACTTTTACAAAATTATAGATGTTTAGCATATAAAATGTGCTTTGGGATGCGTAATATTCTCCTTGTTGCAATATTAATAGAACGGAGGAAGTATAACCTTTTTATTATTTTTCAATATCACAATCTTTGAAGGGTGTTTTAAACAAGATATAACTAGAAACTAGTTAGTGACCCGGGCGATGTCCCGGATTGTATTTTTTAGATGACTGTGGATATAGAGTGATTGAAACTTATAACTTTTAATATTATTACTCCTTATTACACAAATTAAAAGAATCAATAAATTTAATTGACCACAAATATCAATTCCACAATTTTCTCGAGATTATTTGATAGTTTAAAAAGTCATATTTTTTGTAAATCGTAGATTACCATTATAGTCCTAAAAAACTATACCGTTTGTACTCTTATCCTACTATACCATTTTTTTCACTCCCTATAACAGAGTCCAATGTACATAGTATATTTCATTTTTTCTTGTCATATCTCTTTGTAAAGTGTCGACCAAAATCAGCCAGTTGAACAATACTGCAAATAAAACACAAAAAAAAAAATCATATAATTAATTGAAAACTAAGAGGAATGACATCTAATCACTGAATGTAAGCTATATTTTAACAAATGATCAATTTGTGTAAGAAGACATTTAACACTACACACACCTTAGATTGATATGATAGAAAATTATAGAAAACTAAACGGTGACAAACCTTATTAGTAGTATATAAAAACTAATGGAGTTAAGACCAAATTTGGGCCCTCAATTCTACAATTTTTCACCGTTTAGGTACTGAATTTTTTTATTCACCATTTGGGTACTCAGACCCATTTTATGGCAAAAAAAAATTAAATCACCTCAAACAATTTAGTACCCTTAGTTAAAAGTTGAGTACCTTGGGTTAAGATGTGGGGCCCACCCAAATTTTTTTCTTCTTCCTCCCCTTTTCTAAATCAAACCCAAACATTTCTCATTCTCCATTGAAGCGCACCCAACATTCTCCATTAAAGCGCACTCAACGTTCTCCATTAAAGCAGTTTCTGAGGTAAAATTTTAATTTCTTTTTTTTTCATCATCTAGTTTCAATTTCTCAATCTAGGGTTTTATCTTAAATTTTATTCACATTACACACAAATTTAGGGTTCTCCTAAGCTCCACAACATCCTCTATTTCTCGGCTTTCGATTGATCATCCTCCACCGTCGTGTAGGTGAAATAATGAGTTTTGATGACTTGTAAGTGTTTGATTGGTGAAATTAGAGTAAAAAATTAGAATTTTATTGATTTTGAAACGCCCAAAAATGCTTGATTAGGATTTTGCTGAACAAAATTGATGAACGGCGATGGCGCGGATGGTGAAGGAAAGAAGAAGATTGTGGGTTTTGAGGATTTGAGATGCGTGGGTTATTGATTATGCTTCTTTTTTATTTCTTTGTCAAAAAAATACAAGGCTACTGTAAGTCTGTTATAAAGATTGCTACAATCTCTATTGAAAATCAAGTATTGCTTTGGCCTCTTCTTCTTTTTTTTTTTTTTTTCATACAATCTCTATTGAAAATCATCAATCTGGGCTGAGTTTCTGATTTTGCAATTCTTCAAATGTAGATGGATAACAGAGGACTGAATCACACACTAGATGAAGCAGCATTTTTTTTCAATTTTGGACAAATCATGGATGATGAAACAGTTGAATTAATTAATGTTTTTTTTAATTTTAATTTAATTAGTTTTTTAATTATGTATGGTTTATGGTGAGTTAAGGGTGAGTTAGTTGGCCTGAAAAGGTGAAAAAAATCAAGAATTGAGGGCCTAATTGTTGACTTAACTCAAACTATTGGGGAAGGTAGATTACAATTTTCATAGTACAACCTATACAATAGTTATAAATCTACAGATAAGCATGTTTTTTTTTTTTTTTTTTTTTTTTTGAAAGGAGATAATTATAGCATATAGATTTAAACAAATACTATACAAACTAATGATATATAAAAACTAATGTTCTTACAAAAAAGATGCTAAGAAAATCATGCCACTTCAGAATTACCTTTCTTTACTCAAACAATACTATAGAAAATTATGCACTACTATTTTATTAAGAGTGAATGAGCGATTATTGTAACAAATCTTTGGTATTTCTGACCACACAACCACAATAGCAAAGTGTTTTATTTTATAATGATAGGGTAAGTGTCAAAGTACTAATATTTAAGTTTTAATTTGATTATAATATTAAAAAAGTGTAATTCAACCATTAATTTCATAATTAAGTCATTAAATATTTAGCAGTTATAATATGAGGCAATTCAACAATTTTTTTGTAATTACTATTTTAATGATTCCAATACTTCAATTGAGTCCAAATAAATAGTAATTACAGTACAAAAAAAAAAAAAAAACTTTGAATTATCTTACTTTATAACTGTTAAGTAAATATTTTAATGTTGAATACATAAATCACTATAATTGACAGTTATGGTAGCATTAATAATGCCGATTACAACTTTATGGGAGGATTTTTGTTGTTGTTGTTGTTGTTGTTGTTGTTGTTGTTGTTGTTGTTGTTGTTGTTGTTGTTGTTGTTGTTGAGTTCAAATGACATGGCGAAATGTAATAAAAAAATGACACATGGCGGATTGAAACTCCTACCTTTGAGTTTTAATAATAATATTGATAGTGTTATAAACCTTACGGTACACCCAGGGATATTATTGGCACTATGGTGTTAAGTGCGCGTTCGCGCGAGTGCTAGTTGGAATTTTAGGGTGTAATTCTTGTCTTGAGGTGTTGCAATGTGGGTTTATTATTTTTTTTTTCAAGTAGATAATGAGTTTGAATACCTCCGTTTCTTTTTAGTTAACACATATTCTTTTTTATGAAGTTTTTTTTAGTTAACACGTTTCATTTTGTGGTAAATTTTTTACCTTGCATTTACATGGTATCCCACTTACTTTTTCATTCTCTCTCACTCTCTCTCCTCTCCTTAATATATGTGCCTAAATCAAACGCGTCAACTAAATAGAAACGGAGAAAGTATGTGTCTAAAGTATTGTTGCTCATGGTATTTTTTTAAAAAAATTGATAATTTTTTTTTGGTAAGGGAAAAAATTGAAGTGTATTCTATTAAGAAAGTGTAAAAAATTGATCACTTTAGTTACGTTATTTTTATGCTAACTATAGGTGTTTAGAGTCGGTCTTCAATTTGCATGTAAGTCCAAATGCATAAGTTCGATTGAAATTTTAAATGCAGTCAAAAGATAGGACTTTTTTATTTTTTTAATAAACTTAGTTGGTTATGTTCTTGCGGCCTTAAGTGATCTCATATGAATTTCTTGTTCTTGTAGCAGAAATAAATCTTATTTAATTATTACATAATTTTGCAGCAATAACACATTTTATTTGTTAAGTTAGTAATTTTCAAGACGCAGTGGCAGATCTTGAAACATTTTATTTCGGGAGCCAAGTTGTCAATTGATAGATATTAGTAAAAAAAAAAAAAAAAAAAAAAGATCGAGATACCAATTGCAAAAAACGTACTCTAACTTTCAAGTGAGCAATTTATCAACCTCATAACGTCTTGTCTCCTAAAATTGGTTTTGAGTGCTCAAACTATTCAAAATAACAAATGAATTTAATTGAAAAAAATAAAATTTGAAAACTTTTTTTTTTTTTTTTTTTAAAAAAAAAAAACGAAGTATAGGACATAATAACAATTAATAACATTAACTATATAATTTAAAACAAAACATGTTCAAGGTGCAAATATTTATTAATTAATGGTTTAAAAGGAAAGAATAAGTGTAGTAAAAGAGAGAAAGAACTTTTAAGGGTTGTCAGTGCTTAATGGCCTGGGAATTGGGTAGCTATAGACCTAGAGTAGTAGACTACAGTAGTAGATTAGCAGATTAGTACTTTTATTACTACTACGTTATTTCCCCTTCCTAAGGTAATTAAAAAAAATCATTTTATTGGGCCATTTACCTACTACTGTACATTTTTTTTTCCCAAATCTTTCAGGGGACAAGCACCATTGAGCCCTAACAAAAGTCCGCCTCTGATGGCACAATATATAGTACCTGAACATCTTAGTATAAAAGATTATGTGGTCTTTCTATCTATCTCTCCTTATCCTAATAAGATAATTGCCTAAATTTTCTTTCTCAAGCCAACTTTCCTAATTACCCTTTTTTTAAGTGGTCTCTTAATTTTCTTAAGTGATCTTTCTTTTTTTAAGTGACCTTTCTTCTTAAGTAATCTTTCTTCTTAAGTAATCTTTCTTTTCTTAAATGAGTGATCTTTCTTTTAGATTGATTTTTCTTAAGTGGTCTTAATTGTTTTATCTCTCTAGCATTTAATTAATAAATCTTTAACCTAAGCTAATTTCTCTTAATTTATTAAGTGATATTTGTTAAGTAGCTTAGCTCTCTTTTTTTGTTTAGTGATATTTTTTAAGTGGTCCTGCCCAAATGATCTCTCTCTCTCTCTCTCTCTCTCTCTCTCTCTTCTCTCTCTCTCTCTCTCTCTCTCTCTCTCTCTCTCTCTCTCTCTCTCTCTCTCTCAAGTGATTGTTTCATAAAAAATTAGCTAAAGAAAATATAATTAGCTAAAGTGGTCCATCATTTCATTAGTAAGCTTCTTCTTGAGCTAATTTCTCTAATTCTTGAGTATTCTCTCTCTCTCTCTCTCATTTTAGTAATTAAGCATTTTTCTAATCTAATAATTGTGTTTTTTCGAGCTAATTGTCCTGATTTTCTTAAGTGGTCTCCTTCTTTCTCCTAAGCTAATTGACTTTATTTTTTTTAATATGATCGTTCTTAATTGGCTTTTCATCTCTCCAAAGCCAATTGACCCTATTTTCAATACTTATTTTTCTTAAAGGACCCCATTTTATCTCCCTCATTTTTTTTTAGAAAGAAATTTTTTTTAATTAATCACAATAAAAGAAAATACACCGAGGCATAAGCCCTTGAGCCAATCAAGCTCACTAACCTTAATTTTCCTAATACAAACACTACTAATTCTATGGTATACATCATAACAAATTTTACCTATAACAATACTAGGCCTATCAATTCTAGCATCCCAAATAGCTCTATTTCTTTGCTGCCAAATACTATACACAATTGCAGCACATATACTCTGATAAACTTGCTTCTGGAATATGTTTTTAGCCTTCCAGCACCAATCACTATTGTAGGGAATATTTCAAGCATTATCCCAAACTTGAACCCCACTGTGATCATACACTAAAGTACGGTGGCGTCCAAAGGGAAGGAAGCTAGAGCAAAAGAGTCGCCAACAAGTTTTAGGAACTTGTAAACTGTTCACGAGGTGAAGGTTACACCCCTTAACGATCCAAGAGATCGTTAACTCCAATAGGTCTGGAACCATGACTGGAAGTTCCGGGATGAAGGTACAAATCCAACCTAAAAGAGATTGAACCTGCCCTAATAATAGGCCTCTACTTTATTCTGATCGTATTCATGTGCGCTTTCTGACTAAAATGCAATCAATAGGTTTAACCCTAAACCTGTTTAACTATGTTGGTTGAATATTAATGCACAAATAAAACTATTATTGGCGATCACTTGAATTATAATCAAATTAACCCTAAACAAGATTATTAATTATCTTATTAAGCGCGATTACAAGTACCAATTCCCTTTAAACATGCATAAAATGTGTGATCAAGCAATAACAATAAATATATCAAGCAACATAATAATCATAATAATCATCATAACAATCATAATCATGTTAAAGCATAATAATAGCAAGATCCTAGGCATGATACTAACAAGATTAATAACAAACCCTAGCATGTCACTAAACAATAAAAAAGAAATATGTAGCCCTAACATGATACTAACATGAATATTAGGAAACAAAATAGGAAGCATCGCAGAAATCATAATTGATATAAGCAAATGACCCTAAATATGATACTAGGAAGCAATAAAACATCCTAACATGATACTAGGAATTAAAATAACAATCTAAACATGATTTCTATATCATAATATCAATTAAACAATTAAAGTACTTACTTGGATGCCTCGTATCTCTTTCTAATAACAAAATACACGCGTTAGTGTAGACACCCATTTGTGTCTCCCCAAAACCAAACCCAGTGATGAGTACCTTTCGCGTCGAATCATAATCGAATGAAGTGAAAGTTGGAAAAGTCTAGTGTTGCGGATAGTTTTTTAATTTCTTTTCTCTTCTCTCTGTTTTTGAAAACTTATTTTAAGAAAACAACCAATCCAGTTTGGTTGGTCCATGATATGGGCCAATAGTAGTGTAGTTGGATGGGGCTTGACAAGAACTTTCCAACGATATATTATAAGCCCAATTCCGATGAATATTGAGGAAGTTATGGCCAATTTACTAAACTGGGCCCGGTTTGAGCCTTATATGCGGCCCAATGATCTTGGGGAGGGCCTAATATAGATTTATCATTCCTAATACAATTAGGAATGGTTTTAGTCTTCTAGATTCGTCTAGAAGGTGTTTTTCATTCCTAATTCAATTAGCATTGATAAATTGACTTTTGTTGACTTTTCAGAGTTTTAATTAGAATCAAAGAGCATTTTTGAGGAAAATACGATTTTATCCTCCTGTACGGCAATTTTTATCTGATTTTAAGAAAACGCGTGATTTTTCTGAATCAGCGCCAAACGCCATCTGTAGCGCCTGGCGCTAATGTTGGCGCCTGACGCCAATAGCCAGCGTTGGCGCTAATTCAATTTTACGTGCGCCAGAACTTTGTTTTGATATTTTATCTTTTTGGCTGATTTTCTCTATAAATAACGTCGTAAAAACTCCGTTTTCATTCACTAATTCTCGTCAACAATCATCGATTCTCTCTCATTTTCTTCTACAATCAACCAACTCTCATCAAGATTTTCTTGATTACTCTCTCTCTC